AGGTGGTGCCCGAAGTCCACTTGGTACAAGTGGGCTGTTGGTGATCAATAGTTCAGCACTAGGGGGCAACCCCAATCTGAGGGTGGTGTGTTATTCAGCATGAATTGTTTGTCCTCACGAACCTCTCTCTGGGGCAAGGGCAGGCCTAAAAATATTGTCCATCATTATTGGTCTATGATCAGGAACTATGGAATTCCACCTGGTTCTGGGCAGAATCTCCGTGAAGAGACCAACCCATCTCCTGTGACCATGAATACCTTAATACTGTTTTATATCCTTAGCTCACAGTTTGCCAAGACCAGTGCAGCATTGGGTAGGATCAGTGCTATGGGCTGCCTACTGCTGAGGTGCACTCATGACCCAAAACTGCTATAGCCAGCCACAAGTGATGCTGACTGGAATAGAAGTCCGATAGACTGGGGCCACATGGCTCTACCTGACAGTAGGGCTGTTGCAGAGACTCCATGTGTGGGCATTGGTCTGGGGATGGGGACCATTAGGGTCTGCCCAGTATTAAGTTTCACTAACCTAGCACTGATTTCCAAGACAAAGTCCTATGCTTATCCTGTCCTACCACGAGCAAGTGGAAATTTGTTACATGCTATGCAAGCTGTAGTTGGGGTAGTGCTGGAGAAGACAGTTCCTTAGTCACTGAGGTGTATGCTAAGCTGAGTCACACCTGAGTCTCACAAATACACGGACCTGCAAAATCTTAGGGGTTCACCTTGGCCTGTGCTGTACCTGGTGATAATGCAGGCCAAAATCCAAGTCTTTTCTATCACGATGCAGGTCTCTGCTCGTTACTGAGGCAAGTCTCAAACTCCATCTGTAAGCACTGGTTTGGGGATAGATGTGCTGCCTAATTTGGTAGAGAGTCCCTTCCAGGCCAAAGGTAACTCTGAGCTGTTTCACACCTTAGCATTTAGGAAGTGGTGTGTCTCAGACCCACAAAAAGGCTGGAAGCAATGCAGGCCAAAACTATTCTGTCTCACTTATGAGCAGATTTAGCCTGACTCTGAGGCAGATATAGAGTCTATAACTGAAAACTTAGGCTTCAGTATAGGCCTTTGATTTTGTCTGATGCTGGGTCTTACTGTGGTAGGCCTTCAAGGCAGAGTCTTGAGCTCTAAGGCAAAGAGCTTTTTGCCCTTCTTTCCAGTAAGTGGATATCCAGTACTTCCCTCTCTGCTGCATGAGGTGGTATTAGTCCTTTGGCTATCTGGGTAACATAGTTCCATGGACTCAGTCTGCAGGTATGGGCCTAGAGCAGGAATTGTGAGATTTCACTATGGGTATTGGATTTCAAGTCTAAGGACTGGACTTTATTCTCCCTTCCCTAAGCCAGAAGCATCTCTTTTCACACTGCTTGGGTTGTGGGAGTGGGTTACATGGGCAATTCTTTCCTTCCTGCCTTTTTCAGTGTGTCTTTCTTTTTTTTTTTTAATTATACTAAAACTAGGTACTATGATCTCTCACCTAGTTCCTTAGTTCTTCTAAAGGTAGTTTGGTGAATAGCTGTTCAAATTGATATGTCTGTGGGAAGACGGTTGCTAGAGAATCTTCCTTGGCCACCATCTTGCTCCATCTCTTTGATGCCAGGGTAATTATTTTGCCCTTTTTGAGTTAGTTCATCTTTTTGCTTAGAGGCCTTGAGGATTTTGTCTATGTCTTTGAAATCTAACGTGTGTGTGTGTGTGTGTGTGTGTGTGTGTGTGTAGCTATACTAGGGTTTGAACCTTGGGCCTCCCACATGCTAACAAGCACTCTACCTCTGAGCTATATCCCCAGCTCTTTTTATTTTTGAGACAGGGTCTTGCTAAGTTGCCCAGCTTGCCTTGAACTTGTGATCTTTCTACCTCAGCCTCCCATGTAACTAGGAATATGGTATGCACCACTGTGCCTGGTGAAATCTCATATTTTTATTAGCTTTTCTTGGAGTTGATTAGTCTTAGTTAACTTTCTCAGATAATATTTTCCCCCAGGTGCTAGGTTCAAATTCAGGGCCTCATGCTCCACAAGTATCACTGAGCTACCCAGTCCTTCCAGGTACTCTGTGAACCCTTAATATATTTATTCAGAAATTTTTCTAGTTTTGAAAGTTTTCTTGGATTGTAGTTTTAAAATCAGTTCTGTTTTTGTTATTCTTCTTTAATGTAATCTAATACAGATTGAACATCCCTAATCTGAAAATCTGAAATTCCAAATTTTCCAAATTTTGAAGCTTTTTGAGAGCCAACAAGATGTTACAAGTGGAAAATTTATACCTAAGCACGTTTGATAGATTTTGGTCAAAATGCAGGCATGCTAAAAATCTTGCAAAAATTACCTTCAACTGTATAAGATGTATATGGAACAAAAGAATTTTTTGTTTAGACTTGGGTCCCATTCCCAAAATCTTATTTCCAGAATCTGAAAAAATCAGAAATGCTTATGATCCCAACCATTTTGAATAAAGGATATTCAATCTGAAAAAATAAATATTTTCTCTTCTTTGTCTTCTGTTTCCACTTCTTTCTCTCTGACCCATTTTATTTTTCTTTGTTATTGAACTTGAATCCATATCTCCTTAACTGCTCTGCTTTTCAGAGGCCTTCTGCTTATATCAGTTTTCCTCTCTGCAATTTCCTCTTCTCTGGAGTCCTGATTGCAGTTATCCTTGTTGCTTCAACAACTCTCTAGTGCCTTTACATGGACTACAGTTACCTGTCCTTTTAGTTATTCTTGGCCAGAGCTTTGGTCTGTCCCCAGACTATACTATCCTAGTTAGAAGAGATGTCTTACTTACATTTTAAAAGCCCCATCAACCTATTTTATTAGAATAGATTTTAGTGGGGTATGGAATAAAAGTTGGCAGGGAGACCAGTTAGGATGGTCTTTCAGTGACCTGGGTGGTAGCAATGGAGGGTGAGAATTGTTTTGGATTCTAGATAGAATTTAAAAATAGAGCTCACTAATTGAGTATAAGAAAGGAAGGAATTGGTGACAGCCCCTAAGGTTTTTGGTCTAAGAATCTTAGAAGGATAAAATTGCTATTTATTGAGATGGGAAAATCTAGGTGGATCAGGAGTTCAGATTTGAATATGTAGAATTTGAGATGCCTTTTTGTTTGCTATCCTTGTGGAGAGGTAAATTGTACAATTGTATAGGTAAATTAAGCAAAAGGTATGGGTTGGAGATACAAAGATCAACTATATAAAGATCTTGGCACTGGGACAATGGAAGTGAGAAGAAAAGTGGATGAAAAAAGGAAACTTTTTTTTTTTTAATATCTTCTTTTTAGTTGTGGTTGGACACAATACCTTGATCTTATTTATTTATTTATTTTTATGTGGTGCTGAGGATCGAACCCAGGGCCTCGCCTGTGCTAGGTAAGCACTCTACCGCTGAGCCACAGCCCCAGCCTGGAAACAGTTTTTAATAGAATAAGACTTGGTGTGAAAGTTGCCTCTAAGGAAATAAACAAGGATGACCCCTTCAAAAATAAATAAGGAAAGGGGCTGGGGATGTGGCTCAAGCGGTAGCGCGCTCGCCTGGCATGCGTGCGGCCCGGGTTCGATCCTCAGCACCACATACCAACAAAGATGTTGTGTCCACTGAGAACTAAAAAAGAAATATTAAAAAAAATTCTCTCCCTCTCTCTCTCTCCTCTCTCACTCTCTCTTAAAAAATAAATAAATAAATAAATAAATAAGGAAAAAAGCAAGCATTGCTAGTGATGGAGTACTTGATTAATATATGGATCCCTGAGTTTGATCCACAGCACTACCAAAGGAAAAAGCAAAACAAAAATCAGAAACACTTATGTAAGATTGAGGGCTTCATGATACTAATCATAAAAATGTGTGAATTTGAGTGGATGATTCATGCATTTGAGAAGTACCCATTAAAGAAACCAGATATTTGAGAAAGAATCTTTATAAAATAAGAGCAAAGAAAGATATTTGTCAATAAAATATAAAGGTGATAATTGAAACTTTGATAGCTGGAAAATACTGATTTTTCAGGTATCCCCAAAGAAAATTGACTTTCTCTCACCTTCATTATTCCTAATTGTTATTTTTAAAAATGTAACCTAAACACTTTGATGATAATGCCTGAAGGAAAATGACCCAGGACACACAAAAAACAAATAAAAAATATGGAGAGGATTGCACAAAATAGTTCATAGTGGTAGGTTCAAAAATTTTATTCTTCCTAATTCTTGAAATATGCCAAGTTTGTTTGATTGTTTACGTAAGTTCACCCTTCTTTTACTAGAAAGTGAAAATAAAATACTTTTTTAAAAAAAGAAAAAAAATTGGGAGTAATCAGTTATGTAGAATCTACTCTTATACTGATAGTGAGATCAGAATCCAAAGGGAAAAGGTACATATGAAGAAATAACTATTTTTTAAAATAAATTTCAAAAAATTTTAGAATTTTAGATTTTAAAAAAGTTGTAAAGATTATATGCAGAGAGATTCCATAGCCCTTTATCCATTTTCCCCCTGTGTTAGTCAACTTTTTGTTGCTGTGACAAAATACTTGATAAAATCAACTTAATGGAAAAAAGATTTACTTTGGCTCATGGTTTCAGAGTTTCATTCCACAATCAACTGGTTCTATTTTTTCTGGGCCTGTGGCAAGGTAGGAAGCACGTGACAGAACAGAGTTGCTTATCTCAAGCACTTGAGAAATATAGAAAGGAAGGGTCCAGGGACAAAATATAACTTTCAAAGGCGTCTCCTCAATTATTTACCTCTTGCAACCCTGCCCTACCTCTTACAGTTTTCCACCATTTCCCAGTAGTGCCACCAGCTAGAGACCAAGTCTTGAGCCTTTGGAGACATTACAGATCCAAACCATTAACATTCCCTAATGTTAATGTCTTATATAACCTAAATACTAACATTGTTTTTTCACCAGTTTGAAATCAATAATGTAATGTAAGATGGAAATTTAGAAACATTTTATAAATTATCCATATATGTTTTTGAGTGTTTTCTCTTCTCCCTTTATAGAACTAATGGCTGAAGAATAAATCAAGATGGCAACTATGGTTCCACCAGTGAAATTGAAATGGCTAGAACATCTGAACAGCTCCTGGATTACAGAGGACAGTGAATCTATTGCTACAAGAGAAGGAGTTGCTGTCCTGTATTCTAAACTGGTGAGCAATAAGGAAGTAGTACCTTTGCCCCAACAAGTTTTTTGCCTCAAAGGACCACAGTTGCCAGACTTTGAACGTGAATCTCTTTCAAGTGATGAACAGGACCATTATTTGGATGCCCTTCTTAGCAGCCAACTAGCACTAGCAAAGATGGTATGTTCGGATTCTCCATTTGCTGGGGCACTTCGAAAACGACTGCTTGTACTACAGCGTGTCTTTTATGCACTTTCTAATAAATATCATGACAAAGGCAAAGTGAAACAGCAGCAGCATTCTCCGGAGAGCAGCTCTGGTTCAGCAGATGTCCATTCCGTTAGTGAACGTCCTCGGTCAAGCACTGATGCACTTATAGAAATGGGTGTTCGAACTGGTCTAAGTCTATTATTTGCACTTCTGAGACAGAGTTGGATGATGCCTGTGTCAGGACCTGGTCTCAGTCTTTGCAATGATGTTATTCATACTGCAATTGAAGTTGTGAGCTCTTTGCCACCGTTATCTTTAGCAAATGAAAGCAAGATTCCTCCTATGGGCTTGGACTGCTTATCACAAGTAACAACATTTCTTAAAGGAGTAACTATTCCGAATTCTGGGGCAGACACTTTAGGTCGTAGATTAGCTTCTGAGTTACTGCTTGGTTTAGCAGCTCAGCGAGGCTCTTTGCGGTATCTTCTTGAATGGATAGAAATGGCTTTGGGGGCTTCGGCGGTTGTAAATACCATGGAGAAAAACAAACTACTATCAAGCCAGGAAGGAATGATCAGCTTTGACTGCTTTATGACTATATTAATGCAGATGAGGCGTTCTTTGGTACGTACTGAAAATGTTAATGTAAAGATTTGTAACATTTTTTTGTAAAAGTCAACCTCATTTTTAATGAATTATTGATAGTAGAGAATGATTTCAGATTTTGGTATTGTTATGCTAATTAAATATTTTGTACTTTGTGTGAAGAAATTTTTATACATGTTAACAGGGACAGATCAGCTAATAAGACCACTGGATCATCACTAGTTTGTAGTTTTGTTTTATGACTTCTTATGTGAATTTGGAAAATTCATCAAACAAACACTTTTTTGTGTTTTAGTAAACTTACATGTAAATCTTGGCTAGTGAATATGGAGGTCTTTCGAAAGCGTCTCCAATTTCACCCTTCCCAGTTTTTATTAATCATGTACTGTGTGCTAGGTATTAGTCTAGACCCTGAGAATACAGCCCTGAGGATATACAGTTTTTGCCTTCATAGAGCTAACAGCCAAGTAGGACATCATACAATAAATATATAATTTCAGGTAGTGAGAAGTTCTAAAAAGAAAAGTAAGGGAAGAAAAGGGAATAGAGAGTGATAGGATCAAGGCAGAGGTTGAGAGGGGAAAGATATGGTACTGGAAGGATTCTCTGGGTTGTGGCATTTGAGTAGAGACCTGCATGAAGGGGAGTGATGACCTAAGCAAAAGTCTATGAAAAGTGTGTGCTGTTAGAGGAAATTATTTACTTGACCATCACAACCTTGGATACCATATTAAAGAATAAACAACAAAATACAGTGTGATCAATTTCAATAATTTTTAAGACTGAAATGTAATAATTTTGTGAAACCAAGAATAGAAATTTGAGTTTTAAAATACTAATACAGGATATTAAGATTCAAAAACTTATAAGCTGATTTAATTTCACTTAGGTTATGTTGATTGTGTGTGTGTGTGTATTAGTGTTACTGGAGATTGAACCTTGCATATGTTAGATAAGTGCTCTACCACTGATTAACATCCTCAGCCTTCCCTCCCCTGCCTTATGTCCTGCTAGGTTGTCTTGCTAGGTTGCTCAGGCTGGTCTCAAACTTGGCAGTCCTGCCTCAGCCTCCTGAGTAGCTGTGATTGATCAGGCTTTTTGGTGTCCTTTATTACCAAATGTCACCTAACAAATTTATTTAGTTAAGATAGTTAAAAATGCCACTTGTAGATTATATGTATACATTTCAAGTCTTTTCCCTGTCTAAACAAGTATAACACAAAGCTTTTGGATTAACAGAAATGTTTGACAAGAACAATTACAATGAATTTATTTTCAAAGCAGGGACATTTAAATTCTTACCTGGCTTATTAGTTTTGCATCTATGAACTGAACTGTAAATATCAGGTTTGTTTGTTTGTTTTATACAATTTCTTCTTTTAAAATTAATTTCCTATAAATAATTACTTGAAAATTTTGGATTATATGATCTACAAAAATTTCAGTTATGCCTCCTACCCCCATATTAGGGGTTGAATTTAGGGGCACTTTACTACTAAGCTACATTTTCAACCTTTTTATTTTTTATTTTGAGACAAGGTCTCTCCAAGTTGCTGAGACTGGGCTCAAACTTGTGATCCTCTTGCCTCAGCCTCCCATCTTGCTGGGCTTACAGGGGCATGAAAATTTGAATTTTGTAATAAAAATAAAAAGACAAGAAAAGTGTGCTTTTTGGGAGTTAGGGAGTGCTGACAAAGATCCTATGGTCTTTATTTAAGGTGAAAACCTAGAGCACAAGAATGCAATGACTAAAGTAGAAAAAATCTTCAGCTAATAACCGAGGGGAAGTAGTTAGACCTCTTTGTGTTATTCAGTATTTAAATTTCACAATTTGTTTTTCTTATTTTGTTTTCTGATTGTTACTACTTTCTTGTAACCTTCTTTTACTTTATACTGCTTTTAAATCTGTAATATCATTTAACAACCTAGATAATATTATCTACTCATAATCACATATTAATTTCTCATTTTATAGGCTTCTTATTTTACATTGTCTGTTACAAAAAAGTTATTAATATTTCACAGTATAGTTACATGATTATATACTTGGCTGTGGTATATTTCCTTCTGGAATAAAATGCTAGATATCTTGAGTCAGAGACTTCTTCCCCTCCTTACTTTCTAAAGCTTTATCTTATAATATTGTTCTTTAGTAAGAAGTGTGTACTCCAGGACACTAGACTACTTTCCACAATATCTGTTTAGTCTCATTGTCTATTCAGTTCTTCTTTTTTTCTTATTTTGCGTTTTATTTTTTTGCAGTTCTGGAGATTGATAGGACCTCTTGTATGCTAGGCAAGTGCTCTACCACTGACTGAGCTTTACCCTAGCTATCTTTTAGCATTTTGAAATAGGCTTGCATGCATATCTACTATGATGGTTTAAATTTCTCTAAGAAATCTTTACAGTAAATATATAAACTTACATATATAATGTGTTTTATTCTTCATTTAATTAGCCTGTACTATTTCATCCCCCCACCGTTTTTTTTTTCTTTTTTCTTTTGCTTTTATGTACTGTTCTCTACTACCTGATATAAGAAAGGAAGAGAATCTTTTCTCAGCCCCTACTACTCTACTACCCATCAGGTGTTTTATATGTATGGTCTCATTCGATTATCATGTGTAGTACATATTAATTACCCCGATCTTGAAGATAAAGCAACTCTGTAAGCTTGGATTTACACCTCTATTGAGCAGCAGCATAACATGCACTTCTGATTTTAAGCCCTTTGTAGATCAGACATTAGTAATTCTTTACAACCCTGAGTGTCTGCAAAGCCTGTGCTTTTTAAAACTATTCTGTGAGTTTTTACCCTGTTATGGTAAATCAACATTTTTTTTCCACAAATGCTAACCTTAAAACAGATTTAAATATAATAAACTAATTTTATTGGTGGATTTCCAGTTTTCTCTGCACTTGGCCTCTCATTCCTTGACTAAATACCAAATGTACCTATCCAGGAGTCAACTCCTTTCTGCCCTCCAAGGGCATACATATATAGCTATAAGGTCATATATATCTATAAGGGCCCTTATAGAGCCAAGGGTACCTTAGAAAACTGGATTGCTTTTTTCAGAATTTAGGATCTACTCTGGGGAAGAATCTTTTATGTTTGGTTTAGTTTGGCTCTTTCAAAGTCATTTCAGGCCTGCAATAGATGGAATCTTAGTTAAATCTGTGAGACTGGTTTTAGGGGAAAGGAATGTTTTTTTTAATTGAGTTTTGTATTAGTTATTCCCCCTTGCATGGTAAGTGATAGAGTATGATGTTCTTGGTCTCCAGAGCTCATGTTTGTTTGTTTTTGGTTACTTTATCAGTAAGCTACATCCCTAGCCCTTTTCATTTTTTATTTAAGATAGGGTCTTGAAAGTTGCTGAGGCTAACCTCAAACTTGCAATCCTATCAGCCTCCTGAGCTTTGGGGATTACAGGCGTGTACCATGGTGCCCGGCAAAGCTCGTGTTTCTTAACCTTTATTGTTTAGTCTGAAAACTCTGGAAATACGGAGAGCCTCTCCTGATATACTAGATCCCAGCCTGATCTGATTGTCTCTTTCTTTTTCTTTTCTCTCTCTCTTCTCTTCTCTCCTCTTTCTTCTTTCTCTCTCTCTCTCTCTCTCTCTCTCTCTCTCTCTCTCTCTCTCTCTCTCTCTCTCTCTCTCTCCTCTTCTTTCCTTCTTTGTTTTCTTTTTTGATCCTGAGAATTGAACTCAGAGGCACTTTGTCACTAAACTATACATTCAGACCTTTTTATTTTTAGATAGGGTCTTGCTGAGTTTGCCAGATTGGCCTTGAATTTACTATCTCCCACCTCAGCTTCCTCAGTTGAATGACTGGGACAGGATTTGTCTCCAAGCTAGAAGTTAGAGGGTGGGGCAAATAACTCCCACTTGAGTACCTAGAACAAGGCCTAACAAAAATAAATTTAATTTGTAAATTTTATTTAAATATGGGATTCTTTCCCCCCCCATCTTTAAATTGTTTATGATTAAAATTTCTTTATGTTGATCTTGACTGCCTGCTTCAAAACTCAAAATCTGGAAAGATGAAGCTAATTCTTTATAAATTGCTTCATAATTGTTTTTGGTAGTCATCTGAATGAAGTACACAAATATAGAAATTTAAGAGAATTTATTAAATAAACTTAAAGATGGATCAGATTTTTAAAGTATAGCTTTGAGTTAAAACACATGGGAATTATGGGGGGAAATACTCCATTAAAACAGAGAAATATAATAATTGCTAATGGATGCAATGCATCGCAGACTGCAAATTTTCTCGTGAAATATGTCATTTTAGTTCTTGTAAAAATGAGTAACATAGATTGCAACTTCCGTTTTATACTGAAAAAAGTAAGATCAAAAGAGTTTTAAGTGAATATCCCAAAATAACTCTCAGAACCAGGACCCTAATTGAGGTCTCTTGGTTACTGCTCTGCCTAGATACACTATCTAGGTGAAGAGAAGTTGAATACATAGTTAAAAACAAACATATAGGGGCTGGGTATGTGGCTCAAGTGGTAGTGCGCTCGCCTGGCATGCACGGGATGCTGGGTTCGATCCTCAGCACCACATAAAAATAAAAAATAAAGATGTTTTCCACCAAAAACTAAAAAATAAATATTAAGAAAAATCTCTCTCTCTCTCTCACAAAAAAACAACAAAAAACCAAACATATAAATAAAAACAAACAAATTAATAATAATAGTAATATCAACTGTATTGAACAGCAAGCCCAAACAATTTTTAAAATATTTTTGCTGTTTGGCAAAATGTCTGCAATTTTCAAAAGTTTTGTTACATAAAAAAACCTAATTAAATAGGCCAAAATAATATGAACATAGTTCTTTCTTTTAGATAATAAAATATAACACAAAGAATGCAAATAACTTTTAAAATGAAATAATTTTTAATGTTGAAGAAGTGGTTCAAGAATTCATAATTTAAAAAAATATTCCTTTTCTTTATTCCACAAAACAAAATTATAATGTGCCTTGTAAATGTGATTTTCTCTCTCTCTCTAAAGGAGGAAAAACAGTAGAAATTATTGTTATATCATTTAGCAATATTTTATATTGTTCTTAATTATGAGGCTTGAATTTTTAACTACATATTTGATTCTTACTCTTTGCTACCCACATGTTTATGTAGGCATACACAAAATTCTCAACTTATATTTAAAAAAGAATAGAAGAAAAGATAAAGTTACTTATATTATAATATCAGTGTACATCTTTTAATTCTAAAAAGTGAACCACTATATAAACCCCTTTGGCCTTTGATGCCATTAGGTGTTTATTGAGCACTGTGTGCCAGATACGGTAGGTGCTGGATTAAAAAGATAAATAAGCTTTGTAGCATCTATATTTTTGGGTAGCTCACGGTTAAATGAAAGAGGGATGCACAGACACTTCAAATTAATGATAGTAGAGATCTGCAGAGAGGAGATGAATGAGACACAAGTAAAAGACTGAGGGAAAGCTTTGGGGGAAGGACCCCTGAAGTTAGTTGAAAGGAGGAGTTTACCTGCCAACATAAAGTGTGTAAATGGGAGGAATGGGAGATCTTTACAAATGGGAGGACTAAAATTCACAAAGTGGCAAAGGTATCAGAGAGCAAGCCCCTAGATGAATGGAGTAGAATGCGATGAGATGAGGCTGCAAGCAAGGCAGGCCTGTATCCCATGCTATATACACTTTTGGGACTTGATTCCATATGCAGTAGGGAGCCACTGAAGCAATTTTGAGTAAAATCAAATAACAAGAACATAAGGTAATGCCCTCATTTAATTATCTTAATCAGACAAACATAGGAGAGGAAAAAAAAAGTGTGACATTATTTTGGATGATGGTTATTTAGGTGAAAGGTAATTAATTGGGTACTTGGAAAACCACAAATTTATTTTAATTTCAGTTTGGACTGTTGAACTTCCTACTGTATGTTAACAGTGTATGAAAGTGGTCTAAAGATTTAAGGATAGAGAATGGATATTGAGTTACCTTTCTGATTTATCATTTTTTATTAAGATAATGATTTTCCTTATCGGAATTACTATGGAGAATAGGCATTAAGTCCCATGAAGTAATGTGATTCCTCAGCTATGCTAGGAAAAGGATGCCTTGTTGCTTCTGTAGGCAGGTAGCTATAAGAATTGACAAGACCTAGACTGTGGTTGTGCCAAAACTAAGATGGGAAAAAGACTTTTTGCCACTCTGGTCAGGGTCATTACTGAAGCCAGCTGTATTCTGCTTGCCTGTATCTTTGTGGGTATGTGGGCAAAAAACCCAAAGGGAGTAGAGTATTTCTTGGGACTTCACTTATTGGTCAACCAAACAATGTGATTGGCAAAATTCCTCCTCCTTGACTGTTTTTGGAACTTTGTGACCTTTGGGACAAACCACTGTTTAATAAGGTAACCAGAAGGATTGCTACTTAATTTATCATTTGACAATAGCCAGATCTTTTATAATACTTCTGTTTAAAAGTCTTGTTTCATGACTTAATGTTAGGATTTGGTCTCAGTGTATATAATCACATAAAAAGTTCTTCAAGTAGATGCTATTTGTAGAATATTTAAGTGATTTAGTATGTAAGAGTCTCTCCTTCCTGTACTGTATCCCACGTTTATTGTAGGGCTCGTCTGCTGATCGGAGTCAGTGGAGAGAACCAACCAGAACCTCTGATGGCTTGTGCTCACTTTACGAGGCAGCATTATGTCTCTTTGAAGAGGTATGTAATCATCTTTTTCAATAAAAATTACTTTGTAGTAAAATGCTGTACCATGTATTTATTTCTTAAAAACAAACCATTTGATCTCTGCAAAGGCTTCGAAAGAAAGTTGTATCAGAGGTTGTTTCTAGAGAGTGGAACTGGGTGTTTAAGGCCTGGGGTGGGAAGGAGACATATTTTTCTTTTTTCCACATTTTTATCAGTGCATTATAAGTACACTTAATGGTGGGATTAATTGTTACATATTCACATATGCACACAATATAACTTACCAATATCATTCTCTAGTATTTCTCCTTTCCCTTCCTACTTCCTTCCCCCTGGTTCCTTTCTTTCAAGGAGATATACTCTTTAATGTATTTCCTTTTATTTATTTTGAATTTTTGATTATATACCAGTAACTTTATTTTTTATATTTCTTAAGCATGGGAGATTGAACCCAGGGCCTTGCACATGTGAAGGGCCTTGCACATGTTAAGCAAGCACTCTACCCGCCCCCCACACTTTTCAGTTACCCATTTTCAATTTGATGAATTGGTCTTCTACAATCCTTCACACCTGACCAATTAACTTCATTTAAAAAATATTATGGGGCTGGGGTTGTGGCTCAGTGGTAGAGTACTTGCCTAGCATATGTGAGGCACTAGATTCAATCTTTAGCACTACATAAAAGTAAGTAAATAAAGATATTGTGTTCATGTACAACTAAAAATATTAAAAATATATCATTATGAACTCATAGATTTAAACTGATTTGAATTTTAGTTTAGTGAATTATTATCTATAGTAAAGGTCATATTGCTTCATTTTTAGCTAATAGTCTCTTCAGGGTGTTATCTCCTCAAGGTTGTTCCCAAGTTATTTTTCCATAAGGCTAATAATCTTTGATAGTTTCCTTGCTATCCAATGTGGCACATTATTCTTGGCTCATCATGTACATTTTTTAACCCTAATTCATCAGCTTGCTTGCTTGCTTTTGTTCTCAAAACAAAAATGCAACAACCCCTGGTTTATTTTATTGGGAAATATGATTTCAATACCACAATCAGTATGCTAGAGATGCTCACTGCTAATAAAAGCTGATCTTATTGTCTCTAGGCTTTTATAGTAGACAGAGCTAGGAAGCATGTGTGTGGGTACTTAAAGCCAAAATGTGGGTTTATACTGACACTTTCGAATTCACAGCTATAGAAGTTTTATTTAACCTTTTCTATACTACATTTATATCTTCTTTCCATCTACTGAGACTGCTGATTCTTAAGATTAAAAGGATGTTAGAGTTTAGAATATCCTGTAATTACTTGTTTGTTTTAGCCATGTTATGCATGTGGATGCAAGTGCATGTGCGTGCGCGTACACACATACACACACACACACACACACACACATACACACACAGAGGGAGAATGAGTCCTAAAATAACAAGATAGATACAACTGCTGTATGATTATTGAGAACATTTTTATGCTCCTTGTTTTTTATAGTTGTATTATAAAAATTATAGAGTATAGCCTCTAATATTTGTATTCAGTTTTTTTCTTCAGGAATTCCAGTTATCTGTATATTAGATCTTTGCCTAACTTGTCACTTCTTGAATATTTTCAATTTCTTTTTTATTTCTA